AATGGGCAAATGTTGCACAATCCAGGTGTGGAAAGCTCTTAGAGACTTACCCAGAAAGAGTCAGCTGTAATCGCTGCCAAGGGTGATTCTAACATGTATTGAATAATGATATATATGTACACTAGGTGACTAAAAGGGGGCGCTGTGTTGAAGCCACCATGCCTCCATCTTGGCACTCCACCATGATTGTAAAAAATATTTTAGAAGCTATAGAAATTCATTCATGTCTACATTTGTGTTTGCCACATTTATTCTATTAGACACATTAATGCATACTTTTAACATATATTATGTGAGCTAAATACAAAAAAATTATGAACAAATATATAAAAACATTTTCCTTTTAGAGATTGCTAATGTTACCGTCCCCACAAAAATAAAAAATAAATTAAATACATGTAATTTTGTCCTTGTAATTGAAATACTGTAGAATTCCATTCATTCCTATGGAGGACTGCTCATACTGGGGAGTGCCATTATGGCCGACCGGTGGCTTCAAAGTCTCTCAATGGCCAATACATAGCATCAGCAATCCAGGGTTTATATACATGATTGGTATTGACTCAGGGGGTTATACTAATATAGTCAAGATATATTAGTATTTTATATATATATATATATATATTTATTTATTTATTGTTAGCATTTGTTAGCATTTTTCTTCCACTTTGACATTACAGAGTATTTTGTGTAGATTGTTGACAAAAATGACAATTAAATCCATTTAAATCCCACGTTGTAACAACAAAATGTGGAAAACGTCAAGGGGTGTGAATATTTTCTGAAGGCATGTATTCTCATAACTCGCGACCTACACAAAGCTTCAAGTTCCTCTACATGCAGATCACTGAAGACCTGAAATGGTCCCTCCACACCGACACTGTGGTGAAGATGCAAAAGCGCCTCTTCAACCTCAGGAGGCTGATGGAATTCTCACAAACTTCTACAGATGCACCATCGTCAACTGCACTGCCCGCAACAGAGGGTGGTGCAGTCAACCCAATGCATCACCAGAGGCGCATCTCCAGGACATCTACAGCACCCGGTGTGACAGGTGGAAACATAAGAATTTCACTACACCTACTTTAACATCTGCTAATCTGTGTATGCGACAAATAAACTTTGATTTGTCCTCTCACATGCCCAGGGCCCACTTTGGGTCCCGACCCATAGTTTAAGAAATCCTGCCTTAGAGAGAGACAAGGCTCTGTAAACATCTCCAGTCCAACCACATAAAGGGATGAGAGCTTGTCCTTTAGGGACAGTAATGTTTCTCTAAAACAACAACAACAAAACAGTGACATAAAAAGGAAATAGGATTATCGTAAGCATCTGATATCTTGCTAAATAAACAGAGCGCCATGCTTCATTGTGGAGGGAAAGTGGCAGTTTGGAGCATGGACAGGCATAACAACAACAGGTCCCATTCCTGTTTAGAAAGAATAAATCATAAATGCATTGTCATGAGAGATTGAGTATGATAGAAAACCACTGGTGTGACAAGTGGTTTTCGATGTTTAGTATGGGCCTACTATGGTATATTTTTATAAAATGTTATACAGTTCCTAATTTGTGTATTTAAACAATGGGTCAGAATTAACAAAAAAAAACACTTCAATTTATGATCCTCAAATCCAATGTATATTTCAGTCCACTTGCATACACAGAGTAGTAGGCTTCTGCTAGATGCCCCTGGCTGCCTGTAGGCTCGGTTGAAGGTGATAGAGAGCGAGGAAGAGAGGGGTGGGAATAACTGACCTGGTTTGAGTGGAAAGAATGTCCTCTGAGTGAAAAGAACTTTCAGGGAGCTCAGCTTACTATCCAGCTAGTAGGTCAAAACTAGGAGTCTGCATGCAATGGCGTACCACAGTTTTGCTGGGCCCCCCGCAATGTCTGAGCAAGCCCCCCCCAACCAACAAACCCAGATTTGTAGGGGGGAAAACAGCTAACTTCCTACAATTCTACACATTTTGCCATGGTGCACAGAGAAAAAAGTGCAGTTTCATAGTGAATCTCACGCCATTCTACATATTTTGACATGAGGCTGAGTGAAATTGCTGCTGTTTTATAGCTAATTTCCTGCAATTTTACACATATTGCCATGGGGCAGAAAAAATGTGCCTTTTTATAGCTAATCTCATGCTATTCTACACATTTTGCTATGAGGCTGAGTGAAAATGTTGCAGTTTTACAGGTAATTTCCTGTAATTCTAAACATTAATGCCATGGCTTATGAGGTATTCATATGCTATCTGGGGGGAAGGGGGTCTGCATGTCCATATATGGTACACAGCAAAAATAAGGCTGGCAGGAGAAGAGAAAAAACCCCAGAACCATGGTGCATATTGCCATCTAGTGGACTTCTATACTAGAAAAATGTTAAACTAACAGTGTAAATACTCTAAAATATTTTTTCTGAAAATGGTATCAGTATAATCACAACCAAATCATGGTCTGGTCAGGGTTAAAGAGCAGGAGAGGTGCATGCCACTGCCTGGTGGCTAAATTAGGTCACACCGGCTGACAAATTCTCAGGTCATGTGTACAGCTGTTTCTAGGAGGGAGGGAGGCAATTTAAAGGCAACCCTCAATTCAAGCCCTCTGTTCCTCCCACAACACATACTGAGATATTGAATACACAAGCCATTTGTAAGCCTGGCACTTTGTGACCTACTATGCAGTAGGCATCCTGTGCTATAATCACACACAAGTCTTACTGTAGATAAAACTGTAAAATTGACTTTGATGCTCCCAGCCTCTATCTGGGTCAAATTGACAAGAACATCTCCTACAATCTATTTTATGCCCAATTATTTTAAAACAGACTGTAGTAATAAGGGATTTAACAATCCCATGGCAGCATTTCTGGACAGCAGGCAGTTTATTACAGTTGGCAAACAGAATGTTGAGATGTGGAAACTAAATATTTGCCCGTAATCATTTTAATGTAGACTGTGATTTGGCAGTGGCACCGTGCTGCCAATTTAGTTTGATTTGATGGGAATTTGGTCACTAGAAGTAGTAAAAATATGGATTTTCAATGTTTTAATACATATTAAATAGCCCTTGATATAGAATTGCAAAGGTTTTTCCACAACTCAACCATCTTGGGTTTTTGGCTGTATGAAATGCAGGTTCTGGTTCTCACTATATATTACACTCCCTTATGGGGCAAAACAGCACTATGTGAACTAATCTTGGGTATTGAGCTTTTCAGATCTACTATAGAAATAAAGGGTAGCTAGACCCTATGATGTATCAAAATTCAACAGGGTACACTATAGATTTTTTATCGGCTACATCATATTACTTATTAGAGCATTCAACACAGAAGTGTTTTTTTTTGTGGCCATTGATACCGGATAATGTTTCCATAAAAAAAAAAACAGGCCAACTCTTATCAGAAGACGACACCAAAATTAGGCTCTGTTGGCTGTGTCGTTTAAAAGTTGTCCATCTGGTCAGCGCAGTACATCTTGGATCCTTCCAGAACACCTACACAAAGCCTGGGCGGTCTTAGTCTGTCGCAGCCAGTCAAGCCCATGAGGCTTGGTTTCAGGGTAACATGACGGAAACTAGAACCAGAATAAAACAAATAGCTTTAACTTCTCACATGGAGAAGTGTTTTATTTGAGAATGGGGATGTTATCAGCTGTTACCAAAAATATGTTTTATTCCTCGGCGAAAGACCAATGTACAGTATATACACATTTTTTTGGAGTCAAATGGAAAATCACTGTGTACACAAAATCACAGAAGTGGATATAATGCACATCTAACTGGGAAGCCGTGAGCTCCCCTTCCAGGACCCCATCGGTTGGCCTCTTGTGAGGGAATAATAGTATATAAGAAACCCCATACACAAACTCCTGCAGTACCTTGATTAGGTTCAAATGAACCGAACCAAGCAGGACATGCCCAGATAGGGCTTTCCAGTTCAAATGAAGAGGCAAATTATGGAAACATACAGGAGTCAAGTTGGAATGGTATTTAGTCATGTTTATGTAACTTTCAAATTCAATGAACCAAACTAAAAAGCAAACTTTTTTTTTCATAACTGTAACAAACTAAAATTTCCACAACAAAAATGTTAAATGGAAAAAGTAAAAAAGAATGGAAAAAAAGTTGAAAGGCAGTTTCAATTAAAGAAAAGTAAAACACAGGATTGGGTAAAGCTTGCATACTCAATTTCAATTATATCAGAAACAAAGCCCTGTATTTATCGACATTACAGTTGACAGAAGAGTATCTTCTGATCAACTGAATCATTTACACCTTCCTTGAGGTTTCTATCACATTTCAGATATTAAGATGTGTCAGAGGGCATGATTTGGAAAAATATATATTTTTTCAGTCCTCTCTCTTTGGTCGCTCATTAAATAACAATCTTTTCTCAAACCTTTTCGAATCCAAAGAAAAAGAAAAAAAAAAATGCGCTGCCAGCACATTACCACTTCCACGTCTAGATGGGCATGCTTGATCTAATACTCTGATTTGTTTAGATTTAGAAAAGGACTTGTATGTTAAAAATGACCGAATAAGAGTGTAGAAAGACTTGAGGGATTCAAGGCCTAGCACTGATCAGAACTACTGATCATGATAAAATGGCTAAGTAAAATATTGAGAAATTACAAGCATGTAGGAATTAGAGCATTTGACATGGCAGGATTTTGCATTGTCACCCTCAACCATGTATGTGGCACACAGACAAACAAAACCCACAAGAATTGGACAACAACCTTTCTGCACACTTCAGAACCCCTCCCCGTGCCCAGCAAAAAAACAATTAAGTAGGTTATTTTTATGTCAAAGCCAGAAGACTACTTTTCTACTAGCTAAGAAAGATTTAAGTGATAGTTAGCCTAGACATTATATTACAAGAACCAAGGAGATATCCCCTTGCAAGAACAAAATGTGTAGCCTTTCCAATCTCATCTTGCCCGCCCCCCCTTCCCATCATCGTAAGTATGGAAAACAAGTACCCCTTCACCCTTTTCGGTTTACTTGTGACCCCCCTTGCTGGTTTTGAATGAAACCTGCAGGACCTTGTCCCCAAGGCGGTAACCGTTGAGGCTGGCGATGGCCATGGCCGCCTCCTCATAGTTGGTCATGGTGACAAAGCCGAAGCCTTTGCACTTGTTGGTGTTGAAGTCACGGATGACCTTGACATTGGTGACGGCTCCGAAGGGCCCGAACATCTGCCACAGGATGCCCTCGTCAGCGTCCTGGCCCAGGTTGTAGATGAAGATGCACCAGCCGGCCGTGGAGTTCCCCTCAGCACTGACCGTAGACATGCCGCTCATGTGGTCTACACTCATCGGAGAGAATCTGCCAAGGGCACAGAACAAGGGTTCTTCAAATACTACTCCATAGATGCCAGTTTAAAATAACCTACAAACATAAGGTGCAGGCCTGTTGACCTTGGAAATATCTGACAAGTACTAAAAGCGAACAAACAAGTCAGGGGTCTAGGTCTCTGGGGTTCTAGTCTCGACTCCCCGGGTCACAAAAATACCCTTGCTTAACAACATTTTCTTTTACATTTTAGTCATTTAGCAGACGCTCTTATCCAGAGCGACTTACAGTTAGTGAGTGCATACATTTTCATACTGGCCCCCCGTGGGAAACGAATCCACAACCCTGGCGTTGCAAGCGCCATGCTCTACCAACTGAGCTACATCCTCCACTCACTATAACAGGGGTTAAACACTACACAGACTCATTTCCTAGAACTTTAAAACACTGGCAGTTTGTCTACTTCACTTCTTTAGTCTACTCTCTGATCACTCCAGATTGCCAAGTAAATAAAACAAATGCTGACAAAATTGGTGTCAAACCATGCAAGTCTGAGTAGCATGGAATAACATACCATCTAACAACCGGGCACTGACATGCATTGTGTAGTGCAGTCGGCCACTCACCTGAATCTCTGGGCCTGGTGGTGTACTGGGCCTCCAAAGCGGCGACCCTGGTTGTGGTAGAGCTGGTTGATGAGCTGGGAGTTCTTGGCCTGGTTGGGGTTGGCAGCAAACTTCACCGTGATGGGCTCCGAGGCCCCAGGGGGTTTCTGTCCGTTCAGGTCTTTGATGGCGTCCTCCGCCTCAGCCCGTTTGTCAAAGCGGATAAAGGCCACACCCCTGGACAGGCCTGAGAAGCAAGGGGAGGAAATGGAGAAGCAATTAATGGAATGGGCTAAAGATGTCCCAATTTTTTTCTGCCCTAATAGTTAGGATTTGGAGAGTGTAAAGTCCACTTGAATGGCATCCTTTGTGCTCATTTAATTGAGTCGCACAAATATTTCTCATTCTGGCTGTGCCTGCCTACCTGAGGCCTGATCAACCAAGACACGTGAGTTGATGATGTGGCCATAGCGTGTGAACATATCCTCCACGTCTTTCTGTGTCATGGTCTTGGGCAGCCCACTAATGTAAAGATTGGCATCCTTAATACCGTCAGAGCTCGGCCTGGCGAAGGACACCTGATGAGGAGACGACAAGTCAGTTTCCATTCTGAGTGCAATTTATAGGGAAAACATTTATTCAAAAAAATAATGCTTTGGAATTAATTTCACAATATTACAAACATTAGACCATTTTAAATCAGATTCTAAATCTAAATGTCTCGTATTGATATGTTTGAAAAACTTTAAAGCGAAACAAAAAAGTACAAACAATATTAAAATCATGTCACATCGCAGAGCAAGATTGCACATTGCTGAGCAGCTACTTAATTAATCAAAGACAATTATAATTTCTTAAAATGGATCCATTTGGAAAAGTTAAAAGCTATAAAAGGAAAATAAAAAATTAAGAATAAAATGTAATTGTAAATTATGCAGGGATTTGATTCGGCACAACGTCACACTCTAGCAAAAACCAACTCTGCAATAACCAGTAGTGTTAAATCAAAAACAAAAGTAGTCTGAACAAAATGAATATAAGCTTCAGTATAAACATGTGCCGAAAATAAAACCATGTCAGGTTACCCACACAGGCCAATTGCTTCAATCAAAAAATTCAATATTACATGATTGTTTAAGTAGACGTTACCCAAATACCTTCATATGCTTTTGCAAATAGACACTTTGCAGGAGGGCTCACCCTCAACTGCCCAGGGACTACTTGAGAAACATATCACATCCATCAGTTGAAACATGAAAACACCTTATTGCACATTACCTTGATAGTTTTAGACTGTAGTCTCAGCCCATTGAGGGTATTGATAGCCCTTTCTGCATCACTAGCGTTAACATAGTTAACAAATCCGTACCCTAAACTGTGGCCTAGAGAAAAAAAAGGGGGAAAAAACAACAAAATAAAATAACAAAAGTTTGTCCATATTTACAGATTGGATACCAGTCTTCCACAGGAGATATCGGTACAATGCATGCATTTTGGCAAAAACATTTGCAAAGGAAAACATTTTCTGCAAAATATGGCTCAAGAAAAAAAGACCCACTTTGAAAGTGTAAATTAAAATACATTTTTTCAAATAGAAGGGAGTAACAGCCTCTTATAATAACAATAGATTTAAAAACTTTGGTATCAAAATTATCCACGGGGTCACGTTAAAGCAGGATTCTGAAAAGATCAAATGCAGAAAAGTACTTTCCTCCGGTGTAGTTTTTCTCCAGTAGTAGGTTAAAATGCAAGACTAACTTCAAGTAAAACATTAGCAAATGTAGCAAGCTACATTCTTTCATTGATAAACATTAGCAGTATGCTGGCCATGCATCATTTTTGAAAGAAATACCTTAGCTTTTCATTGTAAGCTAATCTACAGTGAGGGAAAAAAGTATTTGATCCCCTGCTGATTTTGTACGTTTGCCCACTGACAAAGACATGATCAGTCTATAATTGTAATGGTAGGTTTATTTGAACAGTGAGAGACAGAATAACAACAACAAAATCCAGAAAAATGCATGTCAAAAATGTTATAAATTGATTTGCATTTTAATGAGGGAAATAAGTATTTGACCCCTCTGCAAAACATGACTTAGTACTTGGTGGCAAAACCCTTGTTGGCAATCACAGAGGTCAGACGTTTCTTGTAGTTGGCCACCAGGTTTGCACACATCTCAGGAGGGATTTTGTCCCACTCCTCTTTGCAGATCTTCTCCAAGTCATTAAGGTTTCGAGGCTGACGTTTGGCAACTCGAACCTTCAGCTCCCTCCACAGATTTTCTATGGGATTAAGGTCTGGAGACTGGCTAGGCCACTCCAGGACCTTAATGTGCTGCTTCTTGAGCCACTCCTTTGTTGCATTGGCCGTGTGATTTGGGTCATTGTCATGCTGGAATACCCATCCACAACCCATTTTCAATGCCCTGTCTGAGGGAAGGAGGTTCTCACCCAAGATTTGACAGTACATGGCCCCGTCCATCGTCCCTTTGATGCGGTGAAGTTGTCCTGTCCCTTTGCAGAAAAACACCCTCAAAGCATAATGTTTCCACCTCCATGTTTGACGGTGGGGATGATGTTCTTGGGGTCATAGGCAGCATTCCTCCTCCTCCAAACACGGCGAGTTGAGTTATATTTACATTTTAGTCATTTAGCAGACGCAATTTTTTTTTATATAGTTGATGCCAAAGAGCTACATTTTGGTCTCATCTGACCACAACACTTTCACCCAGTTCTCCTCTGAATCATTCAGATGTTCATTGGCAAACTTCAGACGGGCATGTATATGTGCTTTCTTGAGCAGGGGGACCTTGCGGGCGCTGCAGGATTTCAGTCCTTCACGGCATAGTGTGTTACCAATTGTTTTCTTGGTGACTATGGTCCCAGCTGCCTTGAGATCATTGACAAGATCCTCCCGTGTAGTTCTGGGCCGATTCCTCACCGTTCTCATGATCATTGCATCTCCACGAGGTGAGATCTTGCATGGAGCCCCAGGCCGAGGGAGATTGACAGTTATTTTGTGTTTCTTCCATTTGCGAATAATCGCACCAACTGTTGTCACCTTCTCACCAAGCTGCTTGGCGATGGTCTTGTAGCCCATTCCAGCCTTGTGTAGGTCTACAATCTTGTCCCTGACATCCTTGGAGAGCTCTTTGGTCTTGGCCATGGTGGATGATAAAGAAATGTGTGAGTAAGATATGACTAAAATGTCACACTCTCAGTTAAACTAATAATGTATGACTAATTAGTAGACTACAGCTTAGAGAGTTAATCAAATGTGTTTATATCCCAGCAACAGAGTATTTGTGTTTTGTAATTAGGCAAGAAGAAGTGCAAAACGATTGAAACCAATAACAGGAGACTGGTTCCAAAAACACACAGGGAAAGGGGAGTGAAAAGGATTGCAGGATATTGTGAGGACGGCGATAACTAAAAAATGCAGCCTGCCCGAGCAAGGAGTAGACTATGATAAGAACACGTGTGTGTGTGTGTGTGTGTGTATATGTGACCTGATGGTCAGGAGAGCAGAGGAAAATCACATGAGCTAAACCCAGGTGCGAGCTTACAAGATGTGTACGGTGGAAAAATACAGGCCGCCTAAAGCGGGGTGGGATTTTTCCTCTGACGTGTGTGTATAAAAAGATTGTACGACCATTTTGTTGCACAGCGCTCTCAAAGAATAAAGGCTGACCATTGCAGGATTGGGTCTTTGTTTAATTAATTTCTGGGAATTATTCAAAGATTTAAGAAGTATTTGACTTCAACCATTGAGATAACAAAATTCTCGTGATAGTGGAGAGTTTGGAATCTGATTGATTGATTGCTTCTGTGGACAGGTGTCTTTTATACAGGTAACAAGATGAGATTAGGAGCACTCCCTTTAAGAGTGTGCTCCTAATCTCAGCTCGTTACCTGTATAAAAAGACACCTGGGAGCCAGAAATCTTTCTGATTGAGAGGGGGTCAAATACTTATTTTCCTCATTAAAATGCAAATCAATTTATAACATTTTTGACATGCGTTTTTCTGGATGTTTTTGTTGTTATTCTGTCTCTCACTGTTCAAATAAACCTACCATTAAAATTATAGACTGATAATTTATTTGTCAGTGGGCAAACGTACAAAATCAGCAGGGGATCAAATACTTTTTTCCCCCCTCACTGTATTTCTGAAAGTTAATGCCTGATATCGAACAATTAAATAAATAAAAAACCTTGAACGCCCTCGTTCCAATAAATATTTACACGTTACAATTTGAAACTAAATACAAGAGAAAACTAAATAGAATTCCATTATAACTGGTCACCAAAGAAAGGTATTTAATGCTTGGTTTTACAATATGGAGTTATCACCAAATCTAATAACATGGAGCAGCCATATGCCCAATGAAACAAGAAAACAACCGCAAAGACCATGAACAGAACTCCCCAAAGACCACCATTAAAAGAGATACTCAAGTAACGAAAGTTTAAAGAACAGAGGTAACAAGGTGTAAATATAGCACAGAAAAACAGGAGTAAAAAACAACAAAAAGACTATCCTTGATCCCAACACTAAATCAGGTAGTCTGCAATTTACAAAAATACTCTTAGTATCGAATAAATGAGGTAAAATAATTTTAGGAAGCACGCGGGAGTTTCATACAAAGTCAAATACAATTACGGTAACCAACAGATACCACATTGAATTTACAGACTAGTAATCAAGAAATAAAATATTGGCACAGTCAAACAAAAATATGTGATGTCACATTCAACATCAGACTTTAGTAGTGGAAAAGAAAACGAAGAATACATGTGCAGACAGACACTGAGAAGGCCGGGGCCATGAATCTCCTTCTTATGGACAGTGATTAAAGTAAATGAACTGAGGTCAAAAGAAAAGGGTTTGGACTCACTCTGGTTTTGGTGATAGGGATTACCTGCCACTTTATCGCGGATGAGTTTGGCAGACTCCACCTCGCCGATGCTGCTGAAGAGGCTCCGCAACTCATCCTGGCTCATGTTTTGGGGCAGGTAATTGACGATAAGGTTGGTTTTGGCATCTTTGGGCTCATCTGCCATATGTTCGTCGTAACCGTTATCGTAAACTACTTGCTATAATTTCATGAGAACGGGACGAGAGTAAGTGAGCCATTCTGAAGACAACCTTATCAAGGGTGATAAACAGTCATCTAGTTCTGATCATAGAGAATGCTGCCCATGTTCCAAAAGAATCAGACATGCAAAACAGAATTCTTTCTCAAAATACAGCCAAAGTTGAATAATCTGTGGATTTACCTTTATGTTAATTGAACCCTTACTTCCATGTCGTTGTGACTCCCTGTTGTCACCCTGACAACTCTGTACCTCACACACCTGCAAGAGCAACACTGGTTAATTTACAATCCTCTGACGCAGACAACTGAGCACTTGACACCATTCCACTCCTTTTTCCAGTTCTTGTCCATTTCACAACAGTCATAATACAATGCAGGCCTAAACTTCTAAGCAACAGCACAATGCATCCCAGTAGGCATACAACATGATAAAGACGTATTTTACTGGTTGAAATCTGGTCGGGACGTCTTATCACAGCCAGATTAATAAGTATTTTTCAGGACGTCTTAATTTGGTTGATATCTGGTTTTTGATTGATATCTGATTGAACTACTGCCCAGTTATCCACACTGAACAAACATACAAACACAACAATTTCAAAGATTTTACTGAGTTCATAAGGAAAACAGTCAATTTAAATAAATTCATTAGGCCCTAATCTATGGATTTCACATGACTAGGAATACAGATATGCATCTGTTGGGAAAGAAAGAATGAAGTATCTGGTGTGACCACCATTTGCCTGATGTAGCATGACATCCTTTTTGCATATAGAGTTGATTAGGCTGTTGATTGTGGCTTGTGGAATGTTGTCCACCTACTCTTCAATTGCTGTGCAAGGTTGCTGGATATTGGCGGAAACTGGAACACGCTGTCGTACACGTCGATCCAGAGCATCCCAAACATGCTCAATGGGTGACATGTCTGGGGAGTACGCAGGCCATGGAAAAACTGGGACATTTTCAGCTTTCAGGAATTGTGTGCAGAACCTTGCGACATTAGGCTGTGCATTATCATTCTGAAACATGAGGTGATGGCGCCGGATGAATGGCACAACAATGGGCCCCAGGATCTCGTCACTGTATCTGTGCATTCAAATTGCCATTGATAAAATGCAATTGTGTTAGTTTTCCATAGCTTATGCCTGCCCATACCATAAACCCACCATGGGGCACTCTGTTCACAACGTTGACATCAGCAAACCGCTCGCCCACACGATTCCATACCCGCTGTCTGCCATCTGCCCGGTACAGTTGAAACCATCCATGAAGAGCACACTTCTCCACAGTGGCCATCAAAGGTGAGCATTTAACCACTGAAGTCGGTTACCACAGCAAACTGCAGTCAGGACAAGACCCTGGTTAGGACGACGAGCACGCAGATGAGCTTCCCTGTGACGGTTTCTGACAGTTTGTGCAGAAATTCTTCAGTTGTGCAAACCCACAGATTCATCAGCTACCCGGGTGGCTGGTCTGAGACGATCCCGCAGGTGAAGAAGCCAGATGTGGATGTTCTGGGCTGCAGTGGTTACATGTGTTCTGCGGTTGGGAGGCCAGTTGGACGTACTGCCAAAGTTTCTAAAAAACAACAACGTTGGAGGCAGCTTATGGTAGAGAAATTAACATTACATTTTCTGGCAACAGCTCTGGTAGACATTCCTGCAGTCAGTATGCTAATCGCATACTCCCTCAACTTGAGACATCTGTGGCATTGTGTTGTGACAAAACGGCACATTTTAGAGTGCCATTTTACTGTCCCCAGCCCAAGGTGCACCTGTGTAATGATCATGCTGTTTAATCAGCTTCTTGATATGCCGCACCTGTCAGGTGGTTGGATTATCTTGGCAAAGGAGAAATTCTCAATAAAAGGGATGTAAACAAATTTGTGGGCAGAAAATTGAGAGAAATAAGCTTTTTGTACATATGTAACATTTCTGGGATATTTTATTTCAGCTCATGAAACATGGGACTAACACTTTACATGTCGCGTTTATATTTTTGTCCAGTGTATAAACGCGATCACCTCATGTTTCAGCATGATTATGCACAGCCCCATGTCGCAAGGATCTGTACACAATTCCTGGAAGCTGAAAATGTTCCAGACATGTCACCCATTGAGCATGTTTGGGATGCTCTGGATCGATGTGTACGACAGTGTGTTCCAGTTCCCTTCCAATATTCAGCAACCTCGCACAGCCATTGAAGAGGAGTGGGACAACATTCCACAAGGCACAATCAACAGCCTAATCAACTCTATGCAATGGAGACACGTCACGCTGCATGAGGTAAATGGGGGTCACACCAGATACATTTTAGTCATTTAGCAGACGCTCTTATCCAGAGCGACTTACAGTTAGTGAGTGCATACATTTGTTTTGTTTTTTTCATACTGCCCCCCCGTGGGAATCGAACCCACATCCCTGGCGTTGCAAGCGCCATTCTCTACCAACTGAGCTACACAGGGCCCATACTTCAAATAATCCCCCCCCACCCCCACAGATGCATATCTGTATTACCAGTCATGTGAAATCCATAGATTGGGGCCTAATTAATTTATTTAAATTGACTGATTTCCTTATACGAACTGTAACTCAGTAGCATCTTTGAAATTGTTGCATGATGCGTTTATATTTTTGTTCAGTATATATGAGAAAGTTGCTCTTTTTTTAAGACATCTAAGCTATAACTGCCTAGCTTTTAGCCAGCTGAGTCCACAAAGTTTCTTCAGGAATATCCTTTTCTAATCTCAAATTGATAAAGTTGTAATGTGCTGATTCTCTTCACTGCAGATCTGACCCATCACACCACTCTTCAAGAGGGCCGCTACGCTCCAGATCGCCTTCTGTGCTTAGAGGTCATTGATGAGGATCTATCCCACCACACCACTCTTATTAAATCATTAATAAAATAAAACAATGGGACTTTATATACTTGGTGTCCCAGTATTTCTATGTGTGTAATGTCTGTGGGTGAATTATTAAACAATTACTGCAGATGTGCAAAACAATTTTGCATGTAGATTTGTTTTTGCCATTGCTTGATCTATTTTCAAATGTAAGAATATATGTTTCAGATTCCAACTTTAATTGGTGACTAGGAAAATAAATATAAATGCAATGAACAATGTTTTCAATATCCAACTTTATCCTCCACAAATCTTTTTACACTAGGTAATAAGCTGTAGTCAGGTGGTCATCACCAGGTTATGATGAAGTCTTAACTATGACCAGTACATTCAATAGCACAAAATACACAAGTCAGAATTATGACCAACTGGTCGTATGGTGGCCACAAAAATACGTCATATTCTGGTCAGTAAAAATACGTTTTAATAAAAACTTCCCTTTTCAACCAGTTTGCGACCAGAATAAGACGTATTTTCAACCTGGTTTTGCTCACTGGGATAGCTACAAAATAACTTCAAAAACGTTTGATAGAGCCACTCACTTTGAGATATCTGATGTGTCCCCTTCTGACTGCCATGTAGATGCTTCACAAATGCAGATGCTGAAATAAAAGTAGCTAATAAAAATAGTAATTAAATTGTTGCCAGCAGCACAGTTACAGTCACCAACGATCTGGATAACATGAGAACAGCCTAACCAGCTCTGCTAGGGCGAGTAAAATGGTCAGAGTGAGGTGTTCTCTCATTTGTGTCTGGAAGTAGCTAGCAAGCTAGCCAACGTTAGCCAGATAGTTGGGTATTTGACTGCCATTGTGAGGTCAGAACGCTCGGATCAACCCTACTCCTCGGCCAGAGCGTCCAGTGTGCGCCCTGAACGCTTCGAGAGCGAAACGCTCTGAATTTATGAACAGGACAATCTGGCAAACTCTGAATTTACGAACGCCCAGAGCGTTACTCCAGATTGAATTTACGAATCCATCCCAGATTGAATTTACGAAAAAGCCCTATGAATCATTTGTTCCCATTATAAACGACAGGCTGTGGTCCATCTTGGTTTAGTTATAAAAAAATATTTGATTCAAGCTACTATTCACCAGCTCTACAAGCCTTATGTCAAAATATGTCCGTTACTCACCAAATATGCCTGCAACTATTGTAATTTACTGCCGTTACGCCCGTTATGTAGTTCCAAAAATGGTCTAGCTAAATAAAAATGTACTACTGTCCTTACGCCCGGTATTTACTTCCAAAAAAAGCTATATATAAAAATGCACAACAACCGATTTTTAGTATGCATTGTTTTTGACCGAAAGAGGTAAAAAATAATAATAATAATGCATTTACATTTTTTTCGGTTGCTTGAAAAAATGTATTTAGACCTTTTTTGGGAAATACATACAGGGCGTAAAGACAGCAAATGACGATCGTTGCAGGCAGTGCAGGCATATTTGGGAGCCAATGAGCTCGATCAAAAACGTGTTTATTGCTCTATTTGGCGCGATATCTGCTCAAACTGCATGAAGTAACGTCGGTAAACTAACTAGCTAACGTTAGCCAGCACACTTCGTGAGCGTGACAGCTTCGGACAACGCGAGGACGAAATGAACTCGCCAGCCAGATAACGTTAAGACGTAGCTAACTAGTTACTTAGCTATCTTTGGTAGTACGCAGTTAGCTAACTAACACCAAAGATGGTGGATAAATGAAGATGGTTCACTCAGGCAGTTTACCATTGAAAAGTTTGTCTACGTAATGCCCGGTGGTGGCTCTCAGACACCAATCATGCGATAACAACTGTGTCTAGTCTACTTAGGTCATTGACTTCCATTGAAACCATAGACTGTAAAAAATGGATTAAACAGAAAATAAGTAGGGAGTGGGATGTCTCGTTTCCCCTCACAGTCTCTGGCTAACACTATTAGCTAACTAACTATCAATGCACGTGTGGCAGATGTTTAGAACCCATGTGCCTTGCATTAGTAAACACCGCAGACAATAAGAGACGGTAGGAAGTAAATAGGTTGCTTGATATTTAGGTAACGTTAGTAAAGACAAAGCGTTCGCTAGCTGGCTGGCTACTACTAGGCCGGTTTGTCATCGTTAACGTTACATACTTAACTTACTAGCTAGTTACATCTGTGCACGAATGGGAAAGATAGCTAGGTCACTAAATACATTGTCATTGGATTAACGTACCTGCTTTACCGCTACTCCTGTGATTAATAATAGGCCGAAAAACGGACCTGTACACGGAAACCAGTTTAGAAGCAAATCGGCGGCGACCTGGCTAGCCAGCAATTTTTTTAATCTTCCGTCCAATAAAAGTCACACACCGGTGGAGCTAACACGCGCAA